AGTGGCAAAGAATCAATGTGAGCTCTCGCGCAATGCGACAGAAAGCCACGTCCTATCAACAACAGCCTATCAGTTATGCAGTTTGTACAATGATGACAGAATCAGAATATCAAACAATGCGTGTTACAGCACAAATCACTTTTCAGAATGTATTACTTTCCATTGGTGTTCGTTGCAAATTGTTCAAAGTGTTCTATATATGTTCTTGACTATCAGTCTTGATTATCCGCCGATACAGATTCCACTGAATGTAAAAGGCAAAATAGTGGTGAAAATTATATGAATGATGCACCAGGTTTTAGCGAAATTTGTAAACTTGTTCTGCTATAAATAACCATTACGCGTGTATTCACTCGCCTCGAAGTAAGTTCTATGAACTCAGGCCTAAGCCAGAAGAAATCCACATTGGTCTGGAATTGAGGGAATGTGACGACGGTGGTGTAGGTGTTGACGTTGATGATGTAGACTACAACACTACCTGACTTGTAGTTGTAGACGCTGTAACAATACATGATGGCCATAGTGAGTGAAGGGACAATGCTGTCCAGGACATCAGAAATCACCCATTTCCTCACGAGAGTCGGGGTGAAATTGTGTTTCACGTCGCATTCAAGATTATTGCACTTACCTAGCGACGAACATTCACGTGTTTGTGTGTGTGTGTACATGTGTGGCTGCTTGTACTATTCCGGACTGGTGCCGATTTTACAGTGCTAGCCCAATGAGATACCATGCCACAGTTTACCATAAATACCAGATTCAGACACAATACACTGACTCTGAGCCGACCAGCCCTTGTTTAAGCCCCGTAATGCCGAGCGCCAGACAGGGTAACAAGTAGTACCATCTCTTGACGTCTTTTGGTATGACGCGGCCTGGGAAGATATGGTGTAATTCCAATACAGATGTTGATGATTAAGAAATAAATTATGATAATTAATTTACCTGTCCCTCCTATTTGGTTTTAATCGTCAATATTTTCTCCTGTATACTGAGCACACCATCTAGCACACCCACTTTGTACCTTTCCTGTTTGGCACAGTGGGCGTAGACCCTGAAACTGTTGGTTGAGTTGGTCTGCACGGATAACACTTTATTCCCCACTAGTCTCTTGTAGAGTAAGGTCAGCCAGTAGTCCTGGAAAGTGACAATTGTCTTTGCATCACGTAGGTCTGAATCATATCTGAATATAAAAAGCACTACTGACTAACCCATGCATCACCTTCCAACTGTGTACCTGTTCTGTTTGGCACAGTGGGCATAGACCCTGAAACTGTTGGTTGAATGGGTCTGCACAGATAACACTTTATTCCCAACCAGTCTCTTGTAGAGCAAGGTCAGCCAGTAGTCCTGGAAAGTGACACATTCAAGCGTATTGTCATATACATGTAACGTCAAATACCTGTTAACCTGAATACATTATAGCATTATGTGTTTTCTATATTTGTATCACTGTCAGGGGCATGGGTCTGTGGTAATTAGGTTAAGAATTATTTAGTCTGTGATTAATGGCTGACACATATGTGAGTAAGTATGGATTGACCTCTTTTTATCAGTACTCCAGTTACAAATTGTTGCTACATAACACTCTGAACTCGTGTGAGTTTGGTTTGAGGTTGCTTTGAACAATACTACAATTTTGTGAGAGCGTGCCACGATCACCCGGGTGCGCGTATGGGTTTCACAAACCTAGAAATATAATGAAAGCGAACTGCGATAAGTACACATGACCATTGATTTCTTGCACGACTAAGGAACGTCGGCACAGCGAATTCCATACAACGTCTTAAGCCACTTCGCAATGTTCCCCTTCACCGTGGCTGACATTCATTCAAAGAAACCTGACACCGTTCATAATCGGATCAACAATTTGTAAGTAAGTAAATGTACAGTTGTTCATTTCACAAAGCGGCTTCCATGTCGCCATGGCAGGGGACTACATCCGTTTGCTTTCGGCGTAGACATCGCGGGTTCGAATCCCGTGGGCGACACACATTTTTCGTGAACTTGTTCTATCATCAAGGGAGTGGTGTTTAAGTCAGTTAGCGGCTGGTCAAAGACAGGGAAGCCATGTTTAGTTACACAATACTTAAAAAATAAACTGAACTAATATCCCTTCGTTAATGAGTCCTTGCTATAAAATTCATCATTTTGACAGTCATGAAAAATTAACATTAACAACGTTACAAAGCCAATATATAGATTGTACTCTGATTCATAATCATCTCAATGTCTTAAAGTGGCGACACTGCCAAAGGTGGAAGTGAGCAGAAAGCATCCTTCTCTCCACGGTTGCCTCGTGAAATCTACCAGGCAGGATAGTAAATTCGCTGTTTACTAACCTTCTGGTCGTTGTTACTAATTGAGTTACAACAATTCACTCAACTTTTCTCTCAGGACAAGGAGGCAGTCGAATAGTTGTGGTCTCGAGGTAATCTAGTGTTTTCTGTTCTTGCTGATATTCCACGGTTTCTCCAGTATTAGCTGCCTGTTTAACGCTTCACACAGTAAAATGTTCCAGGTAAATGAAAACAGTTGGTATAATTGACAATGTGGTTCACAACACATTCCCGAAAGAAACACATTGTGCGATGTTGATAAGATATTATATGTACCTACCGGGTAGGGTTCAAACGTGTTCATCTCAATGAGAGAATAATTTTGTCCATAGAATGATTGCCTTAAAACCCCTTTGAGTCCGATCCGTGAAGCAATACCGAGCTTGTCTAACCATCTGAAATATTCACATCATTACAATGTACATGTTGGTGTAAAAGTAATACAGTCACGTTTTGATTTCGATTCAGCAGTATACCTCTCTAAAGGTGATGTATTACACTCCAATTTGCAGCATTCCAGATACATCACTGTGGCCTTTAAATACTCAACTACCGAGACCATAATAATGCTATGATCAACGAACGATGTCGAGGTACAACTGCATATATTGGTGGCGGCTCTTGTGACACACGAAAGTTGTTAAACCTTTAATCTGAATTATCACACATGCAACTTACAAAGTTCAAAACAAATTTCGGCTGAGAGAACTTCGAGTAATTGTAGGTTTATGAAAATGAACCGTTCACTGTTAAGAGTGTGTTCTCCAGTTTCAAATATATCACTTCTTTTTTTAACTCATCTTTCATGGTAAGGGTTCTTAACAATTGTGTGTGTACTAAAGGAACACTTATCAATCGCATGTACATTAAAAAAACACATCAAAGAAGTGCACCAAAGAAGTGTAGATTGAATTGTTTCAGTTGTTCTCTTCAAAGGGTTTTCTGAGAACATTAAATGTACCGTTTGGTAACAAAGTTTGTAAATATGAAAAGGCAACGTCAGATGATTACGCGATTGGGATTTACAATTATTTGAAACAGATTTTGAATTAATTAGGTATCAAAGCATACACATGTCCCAAAAAATTGCAACAGAATTCATATGAAGTTGAGGGCCAATACACAAAAATAGATCACAGTTATAACCGTAGTTCGTTATAAAACAGCATATATACAGCAAATGGCCTGGCCCAAAAACCTGTTCGTTAAATCCGCCAGTTCGTTATAAACGTAGTTTACTGTACATGAATTCCATGTGTACGTAACATTTGTTCACCAGACATTGTTGTGAGTTATAAGAAACGAAATGCTAACCTATAGTAGACATTCTTGACAAATACTCACAGAAAGCCGGCCACATATCTATCCGACAGTCCAGGCGCTCCGCCTCCAGAGAAAGAAGACGTCTCCCCGAGCCACAAGGGAGTGTCGGGGTTGGCAGGGGTGGTGACGTTGCGTACTATGTCAATGAAACTTATGAGACTGTCCATCACTTTGGGGTCGATAAAGGTGTCCACTTTAGCATTGCCTTCGAAGCCGTAATAACTAGACATTCAATAATTCCAAATTAGGTGAGAGGAGGTGAACTGTGGTTTAACGTCACATACAAGGATAACGTGGGCAGTATGATAGAACCGAGGATCAAACCACAGAATTTCTGCTCTCCGGGCAGGCACTCCATCTACTAGACCACAAATGTAACCTGGCACAAATTATTAAATATCTCCTTTACAACGCATCTCAATGTTCATTACTGATTAATAGTATCTGTTGTCAAATGAAACTTAATTGAATATATAAGTAAGAAAATTATAATAGCTTACTCACTGGTGGAAAGTTATCCTGTCAAGCGCTTTTCGTCCGTCCCCTTCAAAGAAACTGTAAGGGAATACATGTGAATCTAACCATACGACTCTTCTATTTATACTGGTTCATCCATACCGAGAACATCGGGCATAAGGAAGTATCTGCATACATGGTGTCAGTTTTACTGTAAAATCAGTATACCATATTGCTGTAATCAGTAATTATTTATCACAATAATGCTGCTTTCATCTGTTGTTATTAAGGCCATAATACCAATTGCACTGATTACGAGAAGATATGTTTTGTATTTTTCTACTTACGTTTTAAACAATATCGATTTTGGCCCTGAGATAGCTGTTACGTCTGGTCCAATCACCAGGGTAGATTCGAACCCAGGAGTAGACTTGACAATTTCCCTAAGATGGACAAAATCTCGCCCAAGCTGTGCTCCAGATATTGTATCGGTGAAGGGTTCGGGGAAATATGCAGGTTCTAGAGAACAACCAAGTAGAGTACTGAATCAAGGAAATGACTCATGAATTCGAAACACATGTATTCATAAAGCACCCATAGCTGACTCTGAGACAAGCACGATATGTTTTAGTAACACACGCAGATGAAGAAGCCAGGAAAAAAGTATATCGTCTACAAGAATGCTTGGCTGTATATTTATGACCTATATAACTATACACTACCATTTCCGAGTTCAAAGGCCGGTATCGTGTAGTTCCTGGCATTGCTATAGCTCATCAGTTCTTTGGCGTTCTCAGGGTCCCACTGTCCGTCTTTCCGCTTCAACACGTTGAGACCAAACACCAATTCCCATCCCACGATCCTCAAAAAGTCATTGAGATTTCCCACATAGCACCTCAAAGATAAAAAGAAGAAGCATGTACTTCCAACGAAAGTAATATTTATTCATGCAAATAGTAAACAGTTATTCTAATTGATTGATTGATTTGTGTCGCTGTGTATAAGGATTTTAAATTACAAAACGTTTTTAAACAGGAGCTCACGTATGATGATTTCACAGCAGATAAAGTCAAGATTGTAAATGGGAATTTTACCACCAGGCTTCACGGAATTGTAATTGTAACGGACTTTGTAAGTCCTTGTCAGCTCAAACCGTTTGACTTTTTTAACCAGTTGAACATTATTCAGTTATGATTGTCATGGTATTGAGTACAGCTCCCCCCCTAAAAAACAACAACAAACCAACAACAACAAAAAAACAACAACAAAACAAAACAAGACAAAACAAAAAACAAGCAAAAAACAAAAACAAACAAACAACAAACAAAACAAAAAAACAAAACAAAAAAAGCATATGACGTCACATATATAAGTCATATAAACATACCAGTATAAGTGGAGTTTGCACTTGTACCCCTATGACCCGTTGGGTCAAAGGTCATGAAGTCTCCAGGTGTTCCTCCTATCCTCAGGTAGCACGGATACAATGCTTTAGCAAGTGTTTGCACTTTATGCGATCTAGTTTTAAGATAAAGTATATTCATCAGAAACTGGAAATAGTTGCGTTGCTATTTAAAACTTCAAATAATTTGCACCATATTCATGTATTATACTGTTACCTGAAGCAAATACAATCTATTTATCATTATTTGAATAGTACACTCACGCGAAATCAAGTCCTTTCCAATCAATTGATATTGGAAGCATGGATGAATCAAAGGTCACTCCAACGAAATGGTCATCTATCGATCCTATTTCCTTGTCTGTAGCAACAGTGACAGATACAGACTGACTCTTTGTACATTGCACAAACCAGGAACACAGAATAACGAGCAAACGTCTCACATACATGGTGTCAGCGGTAAAGTAAATGCAGATAAATGAATATCACCTTTAATCTGGATCACTGATGTCGAGTCAAGGCCATTTTACTGATTAGCCAGAAGTGATAAAACAACTAGTTTACGACCTTGGTGAAGGAAAAATTTGAAGTTGGACGATTCTGTAAGGCAAATAATGTCGCCCAGGAATAAGTTTCTTATCGATACATTATTCGAATTCCTGGACTGACTGCTGGTTTTGGTTGTTTCGTGTTGTTATCGAGTAACAGGACCTCGTCGGAGGTGAGGTGAGGTGAAATGGGATTTAACGTCGCGTCCAAGATTATTGCACTTATATAGCGACGTGCATGCACGTGTATGTATGTGTGTGGCTGCTTGTACTAGTCTGGACTGATGCCGATTTTTAGTGCTAGCTCACTGAGATACCATGCCGCAGTTTAACATGAATACCCCACTCAGACACAGTATACTGACTCCGAGCCAACCAGTCCTTGTTTTAGCCCCTTAATGTCGAGCGCCAGACAGGGTAACAACAAGTACCATCTTTTAACGTCTTTTGGTATGACGCGATCGGGGATCGAACCCCGGACCTTCCGCTCTCCGGGCGGACGCTCTACCATTAGACCAAAGAGGCCGACCGGACCTCGTCGGAATGGAATGCACGAGAATTGGTAAAAAACACCATCCCAGTGAAAGTGGAGATAATCCTTCAGGTTTCAGACAATATTGATATGCTTCTTTGACATCGAAGTCAAATCTCTCAGGAGGCGCAAGCCTTCCATCTTGAGCTGCGTATACAGAATGAAAGCTTAATTATTATTCTTTGGCTCTCACCTTTTGGCACAATGGCAACTAGGCTTAGAAATGAAATGGAAATCTTTCGATGACTTTCTGTTAAAATGTTTTCGCTCAGTGTCCAGGGCGTTACCTCCTGAGTCCATATCAGAAGAATAATCCTTCTATATCTTCTGCGTTTGCTGAAGCCTAATTTGATGCGAGCCAGCTCATTCACAGACTCAAAGATCAGATCAGATTTGTTGAGTGCTGCTTTTGCAGCAGCATCGGCCATTGTGTTACCAATGATTCCAACACGGCTTGGTAACCAACCAAAGACAATGTCCTATTGGCCAGTTACAAGATCATTATACAATTCAATAATTGTTAATTAAAGTGGATGTTTGCAAGACTGATTCTTAATTGCATGAAGACGGGATAGAGAGTCTGACAATACATTGAACTGTTTATGGTTTAATTGTTTGATATTCTAGTGCTGTCAAGATTGCCTTTGACTCGGCCATAAACAAGGAACAGTTAGCTGGTTATCTTCATAATATAGTCATGGATCCAATGACGATGACGTTAGCAACTGCGTCACCATACTTGGATCCATCTGTAAATATACATTTGTAAGTATCAGTGTGTCTTAATTGATTATATTCTTGTTGATAAATAAATTGATTTGTTTCAGATTTCTTAAGTTTAGTTCATGACAGGTCAACCTGTATCTGTACCAACTGCCATGGACGAGATGACAAATGCTGAGCTAGAGCTATATATTGAAGATTGATATTGGCAGCAGAAATGGCTGGTTTAGGATATTTGTCTGTGTCACAAAAGAGGGGCATGATTTTGATGACGAGATGTGGTCACCGCTGCAGTTTGTTATCTGTGCAGTCATGCTGCTTACTGCAGCGGGAACAAATTATGAGTTATGACAGGACTTAGCCCCATGTGCGAATTGCTGACATTTAAAACGACAGAGTGGATTTGGTATATAACCAGTTGATTGATGAAGGAAGTTTTGTTAAAGCAAATGTAAAAAGGTAAGTTTGGGTTTTAATAAGATTATCACCATCTTTTTTTCATAAATTGCTTCACAGATGTTACAACTTAAGGTTCCTCTTTTGACATGTCTTAAAGGCGTACAACGCCTCGACATGAATTTCAGTATTTGCGACATAATGCGCTTGGAGAAGATTTAGAGATTGTTGTCTCTTTGCACACTCCACAAGTAGTGAACCGGATCGGAGACGAGTAACATTCTTGACAGCACCACATATTCCCTGAATAGACTTGGAAATGATGAAGGGGTTAATGTTGGGGGGTTCTCCATCAACGCCTTCAACAACCAGAAATCGTGGCCAATAGTCAACACTGAGTATAGATTTCTCATCAGAAGACACAGCAGTATCAATACGTCGTTTCTTTGATTTTGTACGAGAACCAATGAACTGTCATGTAGCCGTAATGAAAGGAAGTTTATTCAACAACCCTACTCCCCACCCACCAAGGAGTGTCAACAAGGACGGTGTTGAAGTGGAATCTGACTACAAACACCAGGACTACAAGGGTGTTTTACTCCAGAAATAAAGATTGATTGATAGAATCGGGCCAATATTACCACCAATCTAGGTAAAGTAAGGGTGGAAGTGATGTGTTTTGCAAAAGGGACACCTCTCCCTGGCTCCAGTGCCCTCAACCATCAGAATCCCGTCCTCCATCAACAAAGGGCCGCAACCAACGGCAAACGGGTAGCCCAATTCGCTGGTCTCTTACGACCAGCAATGTAGTGCTGAGGACACATTCTTATCTACTCAGGGTTCCCATGTGGGTTAACTTCTTTAAGAAACGTGTTATAAAACGCAAATCCAATGCATTGAGAATGTTCCATCAGTTTCGAGGAGGTCGAAAATGTCTAGATCATCAGGGTGACTCACCTGTTTAAAACAGGAGAGAGGTGACACAAAGGATCCATGGTGTTCAAAATGATATTCTTGTATTAACCATACCTTTTATCAGGCTTTTGCTAAAACCAGATTAGCATTTTGTGTTAAATAAGTCCATCGTTTTAAGATCAGTATCTGACTCTATACGAGCATTCTTTCATGCACGCTTGGAGCAGCCCTCTTCATCATATTTGGAATCATATAATCCCGAACCTGAAAGTGTAAGCAAGGGTAGATCTGTCACTAACACGCCTGGACCACCCACGCGATCATTCGACCTACGTCTTTAACAGACTGTTATTATTTTATTGATAAAGTATCTGTTGTTATTGTAGCTTGATACTTAACCGGATACAGCTGCGATGTGTATTGTTATCTAATGTTAATGTGATGGCACCAGAGTGTTATATTAAGGGTTTGAATGATTCTCTTTCTTGTCATTGTGTGAGGCCCATTTCTGGTGTCCCCCGACGCGATATTGCTGGAATATTGTTAAAAGCGGCGTAAAACCATACTCACTCACTCACTCTTTTCAACCTCCATCTTGGGTTGAACCTCATTTGGAAACTAATCAACTACTAAATACTTTTGACATATATAGGCATTCTGTCAATAAGAACACCGAAACAATGTTTGATAATTTCGATGCTCTCAGCCTATTATATACAGGAACGTTACACGACTAGGTATAGCATTCTAACAAGATAGGAAAGCAAATATTTGCAATGTAATATTAGTTTAATGTCGAACACATTACAATAAGTACCGTCAGCATCATTTGCAGATATCAACATCCGCATCAGGGAACACGGCAAACCCGAAGGTCCTTGCTGGTAGCATGAGGAGCCCGCCATAGGCCTTTTGAGGGGGCATGTCGGGGATGGTGTTGTTCACATAATCCAGTCGTTTACCATTTAGTGTCACATTCCTGAAATTACAACGTTAGTATCTTGGAATCAATGCTTCCTCTTGTGCCAATAAGACGCAGACTAAAGCACCGATAACACATCAGTCAGTTTGATGTTCGATAGAAATGTATGTGACATTACAGGTCACGTTTAAGTAGGTAGCACGTTATATGACGGCAAAGTCGTTGCATATATATTAGCCTTTGTCATGAAGTATTGGTGTTCTGCTACATATTAGTCTCTACAGCATATTAATGATCATGTATCCCATACTTGCCTTGAAGTAAGGTCAATGAACTCTGGTCTGAGCCAGAAGAGATCCATATTCTTTTGGAATTGTGGGAAGGTGACGACGGTGGTGTAGATGTTGACGTTGATGATGTAGACTACAACACTTCCCGGCTTGTAGTTGTATACGCTATGTAAACATATGGGAAAGTGTGAGACACAAGGATTAATATAGACACATCAGACGTCATTAAATTCCAGTACGTCACGGAAATGTGTGACTACAAAGCAGACATCTATGTTCTAGAAGTTGACGGTTAAAATGTAAAATGGAAGTAAGTAAGGATAAGAATGCTTGATAACGGTATTAGAACCTACGCCAAAACGTCGCTCTTAATTGTAATAAAGAAGTTGTTCATCCATAAATTCTTATCCATACTTAGTACTACAACTTCTAAATGCCATTCAAAGAAGTAAAAAGAGAGCGCTTAAAAAGTCGGTACTCGTCTCTGACTGTTCCACGTAACACATTCCAACGGTGTACCTGTTCTGATTGGCACAGTGGGCGTAGACCCTGAAACTGTTGGTTGAGTTGGTCTGCACAGATAACACTTTATTCCCAACCAGTCTCTTGTAGAGCAAAGTCAGCCAGTAGTCCTGGAATGTAGCCATTGTCACACAAAGGACATACATATACACACATGTATACTTAATATAGATATGAATGATTGTGAACGAAAAAGGTCTCGCATCAAATAAAAGCAACAAAACCGTTTTCGTAAGAAATCTCTTCTAAAAGCAGAGTCGATTGTACGGTTCCAATTAAATCCAGTGTATCACTCACATGTATGCGCTTAAAGAGTAGGGATATGAGTCATTTTGAAACTTTCACGATATCCAACGAGTTCTTCACAGTTCGAATCAGACACAGATACAGATTAAGGAACAGAAAATATGAATTTTAGATCAAAAGATAAGATATTATTTGAACTTACCGGATAAGGTTCAAACGAGTTCATCTCGATGAGAGAATAATTTTTTCCATAGTAAGACTGCCTTAAAACACCCTTAAGTCCCATCCGTGAAGCAATCCCGAGCTTGTCTAACCATCTGAAATAGCATTTCATTGAGGTAGGCGTAGATCAAGGTAAGTCCATATACTGTAACAGGGTGGCGTTGATTTTACGTTCAGTAGACGACCCATGGCTTCGAGGTACGGTTTCACATTCATTCATTCCAGCAGGTTTTACAACATATATGGTCATGTAGCC